CTCTCTCTCTCTCTCTCTCTCTCTCTCTCTCTCTCTCTCTCTCTCTCTCTCTCTCTCTCTCTCTCTCTCTCTCTCTCTCTCTCTCTCACACACGCACACACACACACACACACACTACTCTTCAGGACATGGTGGTTGCCAGCGTCGCTCAACATGGGTTTGTGACCCAGCAGTACTTCTCACCATCTTTCCCTCCCCCTGAACCCAGAATTTCCCATCTTCCTTCTGTAATGTTTTCAAATTGCTGGTCCTTGCACAATCCTCTTGCTGCAATGTCTGCTTACTTCCGGTTTCAGCTGGCTTGTGGGTTTTGCTTACTCCTCCTGTCATACGTCATTCAGTTTGGGACCACCCTGTCCACTGGCAGTCTCACAGGAAGACATAACACACAAATGAAGATCCAATTGGCTGGCCAGTCGTCACCCGATCAGGGTACCACTGTTGGGCAGAGCTCTCGCCTCAAGTGACTCAGTGTTTCTGGCTTTGTGTATGACTTAAGCAACAGTCAGCCAGACATGATAATGTTCATTGTTTGCTTCAGCTATCAGCTGGAAAGAGGGAAGGAAGATCAGTTGAGGAGTTGCTCCCACCAGATCGGCTTAGGAGCATGTCTAGGGGGCATTATCTGTATTGCTGACAGGAGGGAGTGGCGCCAGTCTTGGGCCTAGACCTTGTAAGAAAGGTGAGCTTGGAAGTAAGCAGAATTCCTCCCTGGTTTCAGCTCCTGACTAGAAGTTTTGCTTTGGTTTTTCTTGAGAATTGGCTATAAAGTGTAAGACGAAGTAAACACTCTCCGCCTCAAGTGGCTTTGGTCATGATATTTCCCACAGCCACGGAAAGCAAACTAGATAGTGGCCGGTACACTGGGGAGGTATGGGGTCCTGAATTCCAGGTCAGCACAGGCTACATGGGATCCTATTTCTATTAGAGAGAGAGCGCTGTGTGAACAAACTCTTATCTTTAAGAAACTGAATTAGGCCGGGCGGTGGTGGCACACGCCTTTAATCCAACACTCGGGAGGCAAAGGCAGATGGATCTCTGTGAGTTCGAGACCAGCCTGGTCTATGAGAGCTAGTTCCAGGACAGGCTCCAAAGCTACAGAGAAACCCTGTCTCCAAAAACAAAAACAAAAGAAACTGAATTACATTAGTAGGGTGTTAATGGAGATGGCATTTGACCTTTGGAGGATATTTTCGACAAAATCTCACCTCAAGAGGTGTATCTCAACCATATATAAGTGAGTTCGAGGCCAGCCTGGTCTACAAGAGCTAGTTCTGGGACAGGCTCTAAAGCTACACAGAGAAACCCTGTCTTGAAAAACCAAAAANAAAAGATAATGAAATATGTTACGATGCATAGGAAAATGCATGCCTCAGAATAGTTTTCCCTCCTTCCTTCCTTTCTCTTTCTTTCTTTCTTTTTTTCTTTCTTTCTTCCTTTTTTGTTTTTTGAGACAGGGTTTTTCTGTGTAACAGCTCTGGCTGTCCTGGAACTCACTCTGTAGACCAGGCTGGACTTGAACTCACAGAGATCCATCTGTCTCTGCCTCCCGGGTGCTGGAATTAAAGGTGTGTGCCACCACCGCCTGGCTCAGAATGGATTTTTTAATGTTTAAAGACTTTCTAATGCTCTGACCCAATGTCATGAAATCCTTATAATCAACTGGGGTCCACAGCACCATCTCTCTTCTTCTCAACTGGTATGCTACAAGAAACCAAATCTCTATGGCCAGCATTTCAGGTTGTGATAGTTTGTGGATCAGTAGCCCCTATGATTTACTTAGGATATCACTTTGGCTCCTGATATTAGACACTGAAGTGAGCAGCGTCTCAAACAGCAAAGGGGTTTCATTCTTTTTCTTCCTGTGGTTAACACTTTAGAAAGGGTCTCACTTTGTAGATCAAGCCGGCCTCGAACTCATGGAGTCTACCTGCCTCCTGAGTACTGGGATTACAGGCACAAACTTCAGATCCTTCCCTTAGTAAAAGCTGTACTCTCGGCTACAGCAGTGAGTGAAAGAAAAGAGACGTTGGCATTTGGAGGCTGAGGGCTTAGTGCAGTTGGATTGGATAGGGGGATGCTACCACCACAACACTTGGATTGGAGAGGGGAAGGCTATCACCGTAACACTTCCGCCTTAGCATCCACCTGCTGCTGGCCTTGGTTCCAGATATTGAGGAAGCTGTCCCAGAGCCCTGTCACCACAGGCAGGCTGCTAACAATTACCTCCAAGCAGCTCACATAGTTGTGTTTAGCTGACGCAACTTCCCTGTCAGTGCTGAGTGTATCTCAGACATGCAGTTGAAGGTTGGCGTTTCTGTACCTAGTGAAAGATACACACCACATCTCCCTAATTATTTATTCATTTCTTTATTTTTGGTTTGGGGGTGTTTGTTTTTCGGGTATCGTTGTTTTGTTTTGGTGTTCTTGCAAAAGACCCAGGTTTGACTCCCAGAACCCACACGGAGACTCGCCATCTCCTCAGGCACCAAGCACACACATATGGGTTCACAGACACATAAAATTATATATATGGCAGGCACCACCATGCCTATCACATCTGCTCTTAAAGAAGGAGACAGATGTGATCCCACATATGATGTCGTCGTTGGAGTAAAGTCGTGAGATTCTGGTCTCTATGGAAGTTGGACAGCCTGTAAGTAGTATCACTGGGAAAGAAAGATGTCCCTGACGTCAGACCCATGGTCCTGTAAAGGTCTACGGGCACATCTCCTCTTGGACATCCCCACTGCTTGCCTGAAGCATCACGAGAACCTGAAATAGTCTGGTCTTGGGGCATGAAAGGCAGGTTTATGACATCTCCAGTATGTGCAGTATGTCCAATAAATGTTCTTGTCCGCTGGCTGCTCTTGATGTCCCACAGAGAATTTGAGGTCTGCAGACCTAGTGACAACCAGATTGTCATCTACAAACTGGCGTCAGCATGACCTGCCAGCTCACAACTCAGATGCACAGTTTCTTCATGGCTTTTCAGATTGCAAGTGGAACAGATATTATCGAGGAGCAGATATATTATCCAGGCCACCCCAAGCCATGCAATTCCCAGTACGTGCCCAGGAGGGATGCAGAGGAATGACACAACCTTGTTTGTGGTGTCACTGTCCCAGATGATGACTTTCCTAACCTGAGGGATGCTGACTAGAAGCCTGGAGTCCGTGCCCCCATCCAGGGCACGAATCTTGGTCAGGGACCCCTCAGAGTTCTCCTGGTGGACATATGGGTTCTTCCACAGAGCCATGGTGTTTGTGACATTTACTCAATGGAGTTGAGTTGGTTTTGCTTTGCAAGCATCTTTGATTTGGTCCCCAAGTTCTTTGGCAGCTGTTCACACTCATTCATTGTCATGTCCACCTGGGATCTTACTGTATTTTCCCATTTTTAAAAATTTATTTATTTATTTAATGTACATTGGTGTTTTGCCATGGGTGTTGGGTCCCCTGGAATTGGAGTTACAGACAATCCTTAGCTGCCATGTGGTTACTGGGAATTGAACCCAAGTCCTCTGGAAGAGAAGTCGGTGTTCTTAACCACTGGAACATCTCTCCAGACACCCATATTTTCCCCTTTTAAAAACTACATTTATTTGTTTGTTCTGCAGAGGGAGCTGGTGTGTGCTCCTGCAAGCGTGTAGGGGTCAGCAAACAACTTACGGGAGTCGGTTCTTTCTCTCTGTCTGAGTCTAGGGGATTGACCTCAGGTCGTCTGGCTTGGCGGCTGATGCCTTTACCCACTGAGCATCTCTCCTCCAGCCCATGCTCTTAATTCAGAAGTGTTTCTGGTCTGCTCTCCCCGCTCACCAGGCCTGGTGTGCCCATTGCTGACGGTCCTCATGGTGGCAGAGCTGGT